CGCCCCGAGCATCTGAATGCATTGTGTGAGCATGTTATATGGCAGTGATGGTGAGAAGAGGAGGGTGTTCAGGACTGTAGACCCTCCTGTCACCCGAGAGCCCCTCCTTGCCTTGCTCGAGTCACTTCCTGAAAGTGCAGAAGAGGATCACCTGATGTACCAGTCATGTCCAGCAGGAAACCAGAAACCACACAGACACTTAAGGCACAGAGGGCTCTCATGCGGGGCGTTGATTACAAAGACGCTGGCAGGCCTACAGCCGCCAAAGTGAGAAGGAAGTGTGAGCCCCGATCGAAAAGCTGCTGCCACCCTGGGCCGACGCGCGCATTTATCAAAGAACTCCTGGACAGGCCTTGACTTGCGTCAAGTAGAAACCTAGGATGCCAGGCGCCCACCACCCCTGCTGGAGTCACATGTTCAGCCTCTGTTGCTCGCTACTGTGGCTGCCCCAGCAGGAGCGCCACCAAAATCGGGGGCGTGGAAAGGCTGCGTCTTTCCTCTTGTCTTCCACGCTTCCTCCAGGATGTCTGTCCCACATCACAGCTTAGCAGCAGCCAGCCGGCCAGAGAGGATCTGGGAAATGTCATTTACAGGTTTACAGCCCGAGGCGTAGAGAGCCAAGAGCACCACCACTGGCAGAAGTGGAGACGGGTTTGTCAGCCTCGTTCCCTGGAGGTCCAGTTGGCTGACCCTGTATGTCAGGAACCACAACGTAGCCGTGTTTGAAAACCTTCCAGGGCCTCAGTTGTTCTAACTGCTCATTTAAGAATTCAGTAGATTCTTCAGCAAGGGTTTCCTAGTGAAGTCCTTGGCACCATTTTTCTGAAACTGCTCAAGTAGAATCATACATATCTGTGAAAATTCTTACACTCTAGTGCTACACAGAATTGGTGTTGAGGGAGAGGTTGTTTATACTAACAAAAAAATTAAATACTTGAATGTCAGTTTGATAATTCTCCCCCCTCCCCCCCCAAAAAAACAAAATGGCACAACCCTAATGGGGAAAATGAAGTGAATAACGAGATAGAACTTCCTCCTGGCTGAGAGGCTAAGTATAGTAAAGACATTTCTTAAATTGACGTATAAATTTATTATAGCAATAGGTGCCTATATTAGTTAAGATCTGGACACTGCATTTAACTAACAACTGCTTAAACAAGACAAAAGTTTATTTCTCCATCATGTAACAGTCCAGAGGCAGGCAGTCCAAGGTGGAATGGTGGCTCTGCCGTTGGGACTGTCCAGGGACCCAGGCCCCTTCTCTCTTGTTGCTCCCCAAACTGCTCCCTCTTCCTCCTTCTCCCCCTCCCCCTCCCTTTTCCCCTTCCCCTCTCCCTCCTTCTCCCCTTCCTCCTTCCCCTCTAAAAAGATGAAAACAAATTTTTTTAAGTATAAGAGCTCTAGGTGGTTTCTCAGTGGTTAGGGCGTCGGCCCACTGACTGAAGGGTTGCAGTTTGATTCCTGATCAAGGGCGTGTACCTCGGTTGGGGTGCCTGCAGCTGGCAAACAGTCTATGTGTCTCTCTCACATTGATGTTTCTCTCTCCCCCTTCTCCCTCCCTTCCACTCTCTCTCTCTAAAGATCAATGGGGGGAAAAGTCCTTTGGTGAGGATTTTTTAAAAGTATGAGAGTATTGAGATTTATATGAGCCCTGCACCCATCACCCAGCTTCAACAGTTATCAGTGTATGGCTGGTCTTGCGTCATTTGTTTCCCACCACATACTTACTCCCTTCCTGACTTTTTTGAAGCAAATCTCATTTCTATTCTTTTATCTATAAACTAGAGGCCCAATACACGAAATTTGTGCAAGGGGCTCAGCCCTCACAGCCGAGGTGGCTGCCCTCGACCCTCACAGCCTTGGCTTTGTCCGGAAGGTCGTCCGGCTGTCCGGTCTAATTAGCATGCTATGCTTTTATTATTATAGATATTTCCACATGTATCTCTAAAAGGTAAAGACTCGTTTAAAAAACTAGACTTTATTTTGGGATAATTGTAGATGCAAATGCAATTGTAAGAAATAATACAGTGAGATCCTGTGTAATCTTTTTTTTTTTTGGTTAATCCTCACTCGAGGATATTTTCCATTAATTTTTAGGGAGAGTGGAAGAGAGAGGGAAAGATAGAGGGAAACATCGATGTGAGATAAACACATCAATTGGTTGCCTTCTGCATGAACCCCAATCAGGGCCCGGGCCGGGGAGGAGCCTGCAACCAAGTATGTGCCCTTGACAGGAATCAAACCCAGGACCCTTTGGTCTGGAGGCCGATGCTCTATCCACTTAGCCAAACTGGCTAGGTTTTTGTTTGTTTTTTTTTTTTTTAGGTCCTGTGTAATCTTTACTCAGTTTCCCCCAATGGTAGCATCTTGCAAAACCATAGTACATATCACAACTGGGATACTGACGAAGATACAGGCAAGTTACAGAACATTTTCATCACCACAAGGTTCCTTCTTGTTGCATTTTTATAGCCATACCCACCATTCCTTACATAACTCCTGGGACAACCACTAATCTGTTCTCCATTTCTATAATTTTGTCATTTCAAGAACGTTCTATAAATGTAATCATACAATATATAACCTCTTAAGTCTTTGGCTCAGCATAATTCTTTCCAGATTCATCCAAGTTGTTGCATGTATCAATATTTCACGCCTTTTATGACTGAGTAGTAGTCTACATAAAGGCTGTTTAAAAATATCATTCACCTAAATGGTCCCTCTTTTTCCTCCTCCTGCTCTCTTCCCTCATCTTCACAGCGATGCCAAGCGAGTATCACTGTGCGAAACCGAGAAGCGATTGCTCAAGACCCTCCCTGCAATGGTACACCCGAGCTCAGAACAAGATGCGAAGACCCAACTTGTTGTTAAAAGACATTTTCAAGTAAGTGTGAGCCCTTGGGCCAAAAGATCCCCCAATGTGGGTCAATTGTGTAGAACTGGGAACGATGACTCTTATTCTTGATCATACTTGGTCAAAGGATCACGTAAAGGCACATTCATTAGTGCGTCCATGCGGGTGCTCTGGGTTCGTGCATCAAACTGCACTTGGTAAGAGGGCAGTGCCCAGCCAGGGACCCTCAGGCTCTGCACCTGAGCTCGGATGCCCACGAGGGCAGCTCTGACAGCACGCGGCTCTTCCTGCCATTATATAACAAAAGAGGGCTTTGTCCCTTAGCTGTTTAAGTTAATCTAAAATATGATTAATTAAAGGCCCCTAAAGGCATTTGAATATCATTAAATATTGAAAGCTAAAAAGGATGACAGGTGTCTCAGCTAGGTCACTTTTACATCCTAATAAGTGTTAGAATTGTTAAAGGAGGAACTTGTTAGTTTTATATAGTACCAGCTGAACCAAGTTGAAAATTACCCCTTTTTCATGTCTAAATACGGAAACAGAGCTCTGAAATCTACTTTCACATCTCACTTTTCTAATTTAGAAGGTATAGATTTTAAAAGGTGAGAAAAGGAAATGTATATCCATAAATACTTATATCACTTTCCATCTCCCTTTAGTCATTAACCAATATTTATTGAGGCCTACACATGCCTGGCACTGTGTTGGGTGCAGGCCACATGGCAGCAAATAGAATAGACAAGACCTGCACCCCATGCTCCTCACAGTGTGGGCAAGACAGACTCATGACCAGGAGTTACTGGATGGTGGGTCAGGGTTGTAGACACTGGTCCTGCTTTTAACACCCTTTTCCCCTTCCTTTAAAAAACAAACAAACGAGCAAGCCTGGCTGGCGTGGCTCAGTGGTTGAGCATCAAACTATGAACCAGGAGGTCATGGCACATACCCCGGTTGCAGCCTCTATCCCCAGTAGGGGGCATGCATGAGGCAGCCCATCAATGGTTCTCTCTCATCATTGATGTTTCTATCTCTCTCTCCCTTCCTCTCTGAAATCAATAAAAAAATATATTAGAGAGAGAGAGAGAGAGAGAGAGAGAGACCTACCCAGAACGTCACTGTCAATAAAAATAAAAAAATCTATTACTTGATTTTATTTTATTTTTTGTTACGTTCAGTAACCTGGACTTAACAAAGTCCAGATAAATGATTAATTTATCTTCTCAGGGAATAAGTAGTGCCTTAAGGGGTCACCCTGAGGTCAACTGTAAAGACAATACTGCATAGCAGACAGACTGAATTTGGGTTAGGTTTTCACTTGTTTCCCATGATCACTCCTGATTGTCACGTGACCGCATCATTATAACTAATTGATTTTTTTTTTCTAGGTGTATACTTCTTGTGTTTGGAGTGTGGATCCTTTATATCCTCAAGTTAAATTATACTACTGAAGAATGTGATATAAAAAAAGTGCATTATGTGGATCCTGACCGCGTCAAGGTGAGATATCCCACTGGTGTGGTTTAAATTAAAACATGTCCAAACATACATTTAAACAGTAAAATCATCTCTAAAGTATAGTAAGTAAATGTTCATTAAAACTATAAATAGAGGGGGAAACACTGAGCACTCTAAAACCAGAATCAGGGACAACCCACCCTAAAATACAACAGACTCTGCCCCTGAGCCCACAGCATTCTTCCGTTACTGAGGTCACGGGGTCGGGGGAATCCCACTCACTGAACTCCAGGACACCTGTCATGTGGTTAACAGGCCACAGTGCTGTCATGTGCGTGTTCTTAAAACAGAATGGGAAGAATTTATTTTAGTGTCATCTGTCATTCCTGCATTTCATCTTTTTAATGATTTCACATTGTATTTCAAGATTTTTTCTTAAATTTATTTTTATTTTTCTAAGTCTGTTGAGCCATTAAATGCTCATTTCACTGATTATCTGAGTGCTTAAATTATCCAGCAACGTCCAGCCTTGGATGAAAGAGGTGATTTTAACTAAGGTAGCGTCATGATAACCAAGCATGTATAGGTGCTTTTCATGCGGTATTTAGTTATCGTGACTGGGAGATTTCCCTGTATTCTCCCCATTTTACAGAGGAGGCCTGGGGGGTTAAGCTGCTTGCCCAGGTTCACATCTAGTTTTGTTAACGCATCTAGTTTAGTGTGTACTGTGTAATAACTGTTCTAAAAGTGCTTTAGTCGCGTAAACTCAGTTAACCCTCTGAACAGTCCTGGGATGGAGGTTCTGTTATTAATCCCGTCTCACAGCTGGGGAGTGGAGGACAGGAGACGGTCACCCGGGCAAGGTTACCATGGCGAGTCAGGGGTGGAGTCGGGGCTTGGACCCAGCAATGTCATTTCAGAGCCTGAGCTCCTGGTGATCCTGCTCTCTGCCTGGGTAGGGAGTCCACGGAGAAGAAACCAGAAGAGATAGACAGTGTGATGCAGAGGGGAGAGAGCTGAAGTTCCTGACCTAGAGTCAAATGTAAATGTCAGTAACAAGGTGACCTTGGGCAAGTTACTTCATTGTTTTGAGACCCAGTGTTCTTAGCTATGCAGTGTGAATAACAGCATCTGTGTAGCAGGTAGTCATCCAAGTTGAGTTAGATAATACCCACAATGCTCCTTTTCTAATCCTGATTTTTCTTCACATGGTCTGATTTAATCTGTCTATCCTAAGTGCCTCAAGCTTTTGGTGGTATAGACACCGAAGTAAATGGGGAGAGAGTAGTTAAACGCACAGCTTGGCCTATGCAGACACTTGTGTCTCAGGGGTCTTGTTGATCACGGAGCCCTCCTGTCCTCGCTGCTTCCGCCCTCCGACGTTCGCTGACTCAGCATTTCATCAGCATTAGCCCGTGTGCTTCGCTGGAGTAGGATGTGTCCATTAGCCACTGCTCGGGCCTTCCCTCTCCTCCCGATCCGGCTGGCCTTGCGGACATCCCTGAGTCCCTTTCCACTCCAAGGCCCTTCACAGCTCTCTTGGATAGTTTTTAGACGTCCGGTCTCTCGCTGTCTCCTGGGAAAGGCCTAAATGCTCGTATCTGTGAGCTCTTCCCGTTGTGTCTTTGCTGCACTCTCCACATCCTCTGTGCATCCTTCTGCACACTGCTGACCAGCTGCAGAGGTAATGGCTCTTGAGCAGGGATTAACTGAGAAAGGTAAGCTCTCTTGTGCAAGGGTCAGGCACACCATTTCAGAAGTTCAAGATGGGGAAGATGCATGTGGTGTAGGGACACCTGGGGTGAAAATCAACTTGGTGGTTTTAGTGCCAAGCCAGCACCATCTGCATCGGCATGTGCCGTGGCTGCCTACAGCCGTTTCCCGTAGGCTACAGTGATAGAGCGGAATGGTCTGCTTCAGATAAGTGCTCTGAACATTATGGCCGTCACTCTCTAAGGTTCCCTCCAGGAATCATAGTAACTTCTGCGAATGACCAGAGAAGAGACTCAGGACCATATCCCTGAGGAACCTCGGAAGGAGTGGGGACCTGTAGGGGAGAAGACCTGGTACAGGCCGCATAGCAGCTACTGTCAGCAGCCAGAGTCCTGGGCCATGGAAGGTCGCCCCACCTGGGTGGCCTCGGTGTCAGAGATGCAGACCAGGCGATGGCGGCCAAGCTGAAATAAGGGGCTGACGGTCCCAGGCGTCCAAAGGTGGAATGAATGGGCCACCTTTGTGGCAAGCCTCTGGAGGTCTTTAAGCAAAGCCAGGATGACTGTTGTGGAGGTTTGGTAGGTAGAATTCAGGCATCAGACAGCAGTGGCTCAGGGGCCTTTTAGGTTCTTTCTAGCCTTGAGACCCTGTGGTTCTCGACAGTGGACCAGTCCCTGGCTGCAGTGTGTGGGCTGGTGTCGGGACTTGGGGCTTTCCCTGGCCTGAGTGCAGCTGCATGGCACCACTCGTCCCCAGCTCAGTGACTTCCCCACTGGACTTCAGCGGTGCTTGAAGCTCCTCTGAAACTTGCCACTCTCCACCTGGTATTGTAATAATTTATGCAAGCATTTCGTTGTCCCATCTAAAGTACAAGTTATTTGAGAACAGAGATGGTGTTTGTGGAAATATATAGTTTCTGGGATTTCAGGAAAAGGAATCATGACCTAAGATTGCCCTTTGGGACTCTGTGCTCTCACCCATTGCCCCAGATTGATGTCTCCTTGCCCACCTATTTTTTTTTTAATGGGGCTCAGACCAGGATTCCATGGGTCTCGAGGACCTCTGTGTATCTGTCAGTTCTCCTTCACATTCTTTTGGGCCCGTTTCTGTAGCCTCATGAGCTGCTTTTCCCCTGGTAATGGGTCTTGGCCTTCTTCCTCTTCTCCTCCCGCGTGGCTGTGACCGCCAGCCTCATGAGCCAGGCGCCCTAGGCAGGCAGCCTTCTGTGTGGGCTTCAGAAGCACAACATTGAGGGCAGCGGGAACCACCTTTTGCTTTTACTTGTAGGTGGCGGATTCCATCAAACACCTTGAGGCTCTCCGGGGTGGCCTGGCCTGCTTGGTCTTGCAGAGTAGCAGGCCCCACACAGTCTCAGTCTGATGAAAGATGTGGCTGGGGGCTCGGAAGTGGTAGGGCCAGGTACTTCAACTGGTTTCTGTAGAAATTGTCAGAAATGTTGATGCCCTCACAGTGCACAACTACCACCTCTGGCCCAGCAGTACCTGCTTGGCCATGGTGGCCACCAGGTGCCTGGGAGATGGTCTCAGCCATCAAGTACGGGACCTGCTCCTCTGCCATTTTCAGCAGCCGCTTGGGAAAGCTCCCTCCATGCCGTTCTGCATGCAGGCACGCCCCACTAATCTAATGTGTGGATGTACACTCTTTTTATTATTATTATTGATTTGACACAGAGAGAGAGAGAATGAGAGAAACATCAATGTGAGAGAGAAACATCAATTGGTTGCCTCCCATGCACATTGACCGGGATCAAACCCGCAACCTAGGTATGTACCCTGACTGGGAATCGAACCCACAACCTTTTAGTGTATGGGAGGATGCGCCAACTAACTGAGCCACCTAGCCAGGGCACCACTGTGGTATTTTGACTATTTGTCTTCCTCACTGTCCAACAAATAAGCCCTTGAGAGATAGGGATTGTGTGCTAACATTTTACACTAATTAATATGTACTTATCTATATTAAACTCCAGAGGGAGGGGAAGATATTCCTTAAACCACAATTTGTTTTCTCATCTTTGAATTCCAGATTGTACAGAAAATCCACAGTTAAACAACAGGAAATTTCAGGAATGCATATTGAGTTTAAAATTCCTTTGAGGAGTAGGACAGATACCTCCTGTCCAACTCTCCATGTCTACCAATAGACAGTAGACAGAAAAAAGCGCCCCCATCACCTTCCCCCTGAAACATGGAATATGAGTCCTCCATCTAGGCTTATGGGGCCAATGTTTACTGCTGGACCAGTAACAGACTCATAGCTGCCAGTGCCCTGCCCTGATTAGCTCCAGTGAGGGTTCCTGACCAATCACTGACAAGGAGGATGGAGGTACCTGATGGGCAGGGCCAGCCTCCCAAGGCCACTGCCTGCGTAGAGAAAGGGGAATAAAACTGTGGTTTCTCAGAGAAGGTGTGGAAACCCCCTAGGCAGCCCACTGTGACCACCACATCAATCCAAGTCTAAAATATTTTTTTACCATTATGAAAACACCCAAAACTCAGATAATGCAGAAATAAACACAGTGGAAAGTCCCCTGGAATTTGTGGGAAAAAGGAGCCATAGGAGGGCAGTTAAGTAATTCACACGTTTGTGAACGTCTCAGTTCAGACATTTAATAAAGTAAAAAGTAAAACCACCCTGTAACCATGGTGGAAAGAGGGGTGTCTTTTATTCTATTGAGACTTTTTTTAATGAAGCTTTTTAGCATTGTTGACCCTGTTGAAATGCCACAGTGGTCCTCACAGCTTGTCCTGCTTCATCCCACGCAGAGGGAGCAAAAGGCAGATGCCTCACAGGGCCTTCCAAATTAGAGGAAAGCCAGAGTTGGAAATCGCTGAGGACTTGGGGTGGGAATAGCAGAAGATGAGACTGAAATGCGATAGGTCCAGAGTGCAAGACCTTAAATGCCACGCTCTAAGCAGCTCCTAAGTTGGATATGTAGTCAGGCATCATTAAACGAAGAACAGCAACCCCAAGTAGAGGAAATGGTGGAGGAAGCTGGCTGGTGCGGCCACGGTATTCTCAGGGGCTGGGAGATGGCGTTCAGTAAGAGCTCCCCACAAAGACAACCCTGCCTCCAGGCTACTGGTGGAGTGAGGCCAAAGCGTTTGGACAAATCTGAATGACTGGGTGTGTATCAGCTGAAGAGGGTCTCAGAGCCACGAGGGTGGGGCGCTGTTCGCTCTGTTGATGACATTCAGCAACATTCAGTGTTAGGGGCCCCTGCCGAGCCTGTTGGTTGAGCGAGTTCTGGTTGCACTGGACCAGGCCTGCAGTAGCACAGAGGTGTGTGGCTCTGTTGGTTGTGGGCT